TTAATGACTATAAGTGTTTCTGAGTCGGTTTGGTAACCAGCTTAATATTTTTTTTAGCATTTTGTTTGTTTAAAAAAAAACAAAATACAGATCAAGAAAGAGTTCAAAAGAAAAAAGGACTCATTCTTAAAAATAAAAATTGTTTTGGACGTGATGCGTTCCCTCCTTTTTTGGTTTTCACAAAACATGAATAAAAAACCTTATTTGGTCATGTTTTTTTTTAAGTAAAAATGATGATGTTTGACCCACGACACGAACTGGTTTCTCCGTTGAGTCATTTCTAAGTTTATTACTGAGCTATTTATATATATATATATATGATTTGAACATATTTTATTGATTATACTTTACAAATGGGATTGGGCAAAAGTTCTAAAAACTTATTACGCCCTCTCCCTACATATACATTATACCAAACATATTTACATACATGGGTTTCAGCTTAAAATGAAATAACAATAATAATAATATAATAATAATATATAATAATCAGAGTAAAACACATTCAATAGAATACATTTCATATGTAATAGACATGCTGTATAAGATTTACAATTAGAAATAATTATTGTATCAACCAAATCGTCCTGACTTTTTAATAAAAGTTTGTACAATAGAAAATAGGTATTCATTTTCAAAATCATTTAACGATTTGTCTCCCCAGAGTAAAGTGTGAGTATCGACAGTATGTAATTTACCCATTCGCAAAAATTTGTTAAAAAATTCTTTTCTAGCTTCTGTATATTTTTTGCATGAGAAGAAATGATGAGTATCCTCCACTCTTCCACAAGAACATAGGGGACTCAAGATTACATTACATCGAAAAAGATCGCTATTAAGCACACAGTTATGTCTGAGCCTCGTGTGTATTATATTTAAGCGTCGAGTTCCATATCTGAAGTAAGAGGGTGGCATTTGTTTATTGAAAGAAATAGACTTTTTAAAAATAGATAACGAGGGAGAATTTCTTACATTAAGAGGTAATGAGTTCCATTCTTCAATAACAAGGGGAACGAAAGTTGATTTGTAAGCTTGCAATCTGCATTTGGGTATGTTATAGTTCTGCGAGTTTCTCGTACTGTAACTTGATGAATTACATCGTAAGTTAGGGATTATATCTGTGAGATATTCAGGAACTTGGTTTTTATCAATTTTATACATTGTAGTTAGTCTGGTCTTTTTCCTTCTTTCATGTAATGGTTCCCATCCAGTTTCAATGTAAAGTGCATCTTTAGAAGCTAACAGAGTTAATCCTATTACAATTCTAGCAGCACATAATTGTAATTTTTCTAATTTTTCGCTGTCACCTATATTACATCCACCCCACACCAAGGAAGCGTATTCTAACTGTGGTCTAATAAAGGTTGTGTACATGAGTGAAAGAGTCTTTCGGTTGACAACAAATTTAAGTTTTTTTAACAAGCCCAATTTTTTATATGCATTGGCTAGAATAGTATCAATATGTGTAGACCAACTAAGATCTTGCGAGAAAAAAATTCCTAAATGTTTATGAAAAGAAACAAATTCTAGCTGACTTTGCTGGAAGAAAAGTTTAGGATAAATAACACTTTTTTCAGGCTAAAAAATATTGCTTTAGTTTTAGTAGGATTGAATTTAAGAAGCCATTTTTTCGACCAGATTTCTAGCTTGTTAAGATCAGAATTCAGTTTGTTTTCAATAGTATTAACATTTTTAGATGACTGTTGTAGGGAGTTATCGTCTGCAAATAATCTACAAAAACTTGTCATTTCTTCAGCAACATCATTAACATATATAAGAAATAATAGAGGTCCTAACACTGAGCCTTGAGGGACACCGGCGTGTATAGGTTTTTCGTCAGATAGCAAGTTTCTGTATAAAACTCTTTGTGATCTACCTTCTATGTAACTCTTTAACCAATGAAACATATTTCCCTCTATACCATAAGTTCTAAGTTTGAACAAGAGACCCTTGTGCCACACACGATCAAATGCTTTAGAAAGATCACAGAATATCATACAACAATTTTCACCATCATCGATGGCTTTAACAATAGTATCATATGTTTCTATTAGTTGATATACAGTGGAATGACCTGGTAAAAATCCAGCCTGGTATTTATAAAAAAGATTGTTGTCACGAAAGTGATTATACAAGTGTTTGAATATGATTCGTTCCATTATTTTACCAATACAACTTAACAGTGACACAGGTCTATAATTAGACATAACAGATGGATCATCTTTTTTAAATAAAGGGAGAACATTGGCAACTTTCCATTTGCAAGGAAAAATACAATCAACTAATGACCTATTAAACAATAAACACCTGTTTATTATATGTATATATGTACATATATTATATTTATACACCTGTCGCCATGACGTGATTTTTTGAGAAGCGGAGAGTGTAAAGGAAAATTCGCTATAAATTACATGTGTGTGGTAAGAAACATGCCAATATGACATTCGTGAGTTAGAGAACTAGTATTTTCTTAATATTAACTTTCTCAATTTTCGAAAAGCTCTGAAAAACAGTTTCCTTTAACAAGTGTGATCAGCTATTGTGTCTTTAATGAGTGATGTTCACCCTATGAGTCGCCAAGTGGAAAGTAAACGCAAAAGATCTGAGACTCTTAATAGTTCTTCTGAAGAACTAAATCCATTAAGAAGACGTTTCAATTCCACATCTCTACCCAATATTACATCAACTGGAATAAATATGTCATCTAATAGTGTCTCAACGCCTAGTCCCATTGTACAAATCAATCCCCTATCCCAGGGCTTTGCTACCTCCTCACCTATTGTTGGTACAGTAGGGACCCCTGATACCTCTGATGATTCTTCATCTATCAATGATTTGCCACCATCATCTGCTATTAATGACATAATTATAAAGACTGTCAGCAGTCAAGCATTTATTGGGTCGCTTGTTCCTCTTATTGCAACAGCTTTAGCACCTCACATCCAAGTCATTAGTCAGAGTTGTTTACACTCAATGTCTGAAACCATCAAAACCCAGCAAGAAACAATTAAAAAACAAGCCGATGAAATTAAAACTGTTCAAGAAATAAACTCTGACCTTGAAAAAAGAGTAAACGACTTAGAATGTGGCCTTGATGACCTTGAACAATACGGCCGAAGAACATGCCTACGCTTCCATAATGTCAACATTACAAATGAACAGGCCCAGAACACTGATGATGTTGTAATTGATATTTGTAAAACAATGGGTGTCAACATTGTACCTGACGACATCAACAGGTCTCATTCCATCGGCCGCCCTAACTCCAACAATCTTAGGCAAGTAATCTGCAGGTTTCGCAGCTGGAAAATCAAAAACAAAATCTACAGCGCGAAGAAAAATCTAAAGGATAATCCGCAAAATCCCAGCAAAATATTTGTCACTGAAGATTTAACAAAGTACAGACAACTTGTGGTTAAAAAAATTTACCAAAAAATAGAAGCAAAAAAGGCAAACAAACTGCACGGTTTCTGGACATATGACGGTAGAATCTATATTAAAACCGAAAAAGAAGGCGACAGAATCCAAATAACATCGCTGGATGATTTGTATGAACTAATCGAATAAATGCATCAAACATGTGCCTTTAAATAGTAGATCTGTGTCACACGGTGAAAGTGAGTTCTACATTTAAAACGTTATAACATGTTTTAAACATGCTATATATATTTTCCACACTCTCCAATACCTGTTTATTGTTTTGTTCTCAGAACAATGCTGTTATACAAGCTTTGTTTATTTACAATCATTGTCAGTCTTGTTTATATGTTTGCTTTGACTGACTTGCAAGTACTTGTTCTTGTAACAAGCTTTAGTTCATTATTTTCTGTTTACTGTTTGTTTTTTATTATGATTGAAATATATGTATATATATGTATATATTCATATGTTCATATATGTATATATATATATATATAAAAGGCATCATCCTATGAAATCTTTTCAATCAAATTGTTCATAAAGAAAACAGATTTTAAGTTAACTGGAGGCCCTTTCTTTTGTTGTTATGTTGACTCTAAAATTTATATCACTTAAAAATTATATAAAAAGGAAGAAATAAATTGGGAAAGTAAGTGTTAGGATCCTAATATTATATAAAAGTTTTTTTTTTTTTTTTTAAAAAGATTATGAAATTGTTGTACTCAGAGTCTTAAATGATGAAACACTAGATTTACACTTTGTAATAAAATCACTATCAATTTTCTTTAACTAATAAAATTCAAATTTACATTTTACCTAATTATCATTTTATACAAAACTAGAAGAAACATCATTAAATATATCAAAACTTGATATAAAAAAAACATACTAGTATCTTGTAAGGCATTTTAGCCAATTTTTTCAGAATGAAATATTGAATGCAGAATTTTTTGGTCTTTTTTTTTTGCTTTTGGAAAGATAACATATAAAAATATAAGCTCCAATTTAGTCAAACTGTAATTAAAATCACACTGCTCTTAAACTCTTCGACGTGTTCCATCTTGTTTTATTTTTCAAATCTATAAAAAAAAAAATGTAGAAATAAGCGGAAAATATAATATTTCAATTATAGAAATTTTACTTTCCCTGTTTTATTGTTTTACTTTTATTGAGAAAGAACTTCCTTAACAATGTGAACAATCAGAGGTATGCAGATAGTGATCTGAAGTGCACTTTTTTGTAAAAACGTGTATTTAATGTTAAGAACCAAAAGCGACTTACCAATCCAAAAAAGGGAAAAGATAAGAAATCTTTATTAAAATGAAAACACTTAACTCCCCTCTTTTTTCATATTATAAAAAGAACAAGACATTCAAGATAACCTCTTTACACTCTGTCATAAGAAGGTTCTGACGTAACATTAAAATATATTACCCTTATAAGAGATATAGGGCTTCGTAGGACACCCCCAACTTCTGGGTAATTTATAGCCGTTGGAATAGAAATATAAATGTGTATCATTACAATATGTCGATTTCAAGAGATTTTTACAGACATGTAAAACGGCAGATATAGAGATGACCCATAGCCCCGATAGTTGTTATAGCTCCCCTGCTGGTTCCCTGTCTTCTATTCCGGGGATAGCGCCTAGAAAGCCTCTGGGATATAGCAGTTCACAGAATTTCTTCAAAACCTTCGCTCCAGGTAAAATCACTGTTTTTTAATAAAAGTTTTGAGAGTTGAAAGCACAATCTATAACACAGTTTTTCAATATACACTGTACTTAATTTAAAAATCATGATTTTAATGTGTGTTGTCTCAGAACACAATATGTTTTTTTAATACAAAAAATTTTTTATACATCATAACCTTCTAACAAAAAATTTCTAAAAAATAAATCTTGATTTTTTAATTATAAGTGTGTTGAAAATGCAATCAGCTAATTAACACACACGACACAAATAATTTTTATCATTTTAAAAGATTTGATACATCTCTATTGTCACTTGCTCCAAACAAGCGTATTTCAAGGATATTTTGAAAATAGTTACTAAAAGTACACATATTTCATCATGTTTTATATACCTATTATTTAACGAATACGTTTAGACATTTTCCCAAAGTTCTATGATCAGTTATTATAATCTCACATTTGATAAACGTTGTATTTAATATAATCGGAACAATTATAAAATGTGAGAATTTTGAACATTATAAAAATGAAGAAATGTGATAATTGCATAATTTTTAACCTTGAAAAATTTAATTAATATAAGTGCGTCTTGCAAAATTTAATGTTTGTAACATAGGTCTTTTAATAATATTTTTTTTTTTTTGTTAAACCCTTATTATATAGCCAGTGCTTGTTTGAACTCATACTTTGAAGACATATTTTCAATCAGATTATTTTCTCTACAAACATTCAAAAAAATGTGATTAATTAAAAACATTGTCAAAAAATAATTCAAATTGGTAAATCCTAGTTTGTTTGTTTGCTTGTTTGTTTGTTTGTTTTAATCATTTTTCAGCTCGAGATAATGATGATAAAAACAAATTTAATAATTGCAAAAATTTATGCTTGATATTCTTTTTTATTTTCGTTGGTATTTTACGAATGAATATTTTAGTTATAAGATAAGTGCCTAATAAGGCGTTAAGACATAGCTATTCCACAGTAGCTATCTTGCTTAAATTTGATTCAGCTTTATTAACAAAAGAAAAAAAGCTGGTCCTTTGAGCTTGACATAATTTTTTTTCAATCTTTAAGGACTAATTTGTCTATGGATGTCGATTTTTCCTTTTGTCCAATCATGACAAGAACACACGAGTGTGGCCGATAGGCAGGGCATGCTTATTCCTTCATGGCACCTGATCTTATCATGATATTTTAAAGGTCCGCGTTTGCTCTGCTTCTGATATGTATTTTTCGATGAACTTTTGATCCGTTTGTTCTTTTAATTATCTTTTTTGTTTGATGTAATGTATATTTCAAAAAATTTGATAACTTTTGAAAAGCGGAAGGGTATATAGTAATCGGTATGTCCGTCCGTCTTTATCATTCCAAATAGGTTCTGTAAAATGGGGAGGGGATCGCAACTACCACTGAGTGAAATTTAGAGACACTTTTATCACAGATTTATACATATTGATTGTATAAAAAATATATTTTGGGTTTCCCGGCCACAGCAAACATGGACTTTGCCATTATAACCATAGGGAGGCGGGGGTCATAGCTATTGCTCACAATACCTAGTTTATATGTAAACATTTATAGTACCTTTAACTAACACATGTCGTAGAAAAATTTTTTTGCTTAAAAAACATTGCAGCATTTTAAGAGTTTTTTGTATCCAATTGCAAATAAAGATGATAATTGTGAATTTTAGGTATGTGCAAAAAACCCTTAAAATAAGTAGTTAATAACCAAAATAACTGAAGCTAGAGGTACTGTGAGCAATGAACTCACCAAATGATACTTGTACTTCCTGCCTCCCATGTAATTATAATGGCAAACGCCATGTTTTGCTCTGGAAGACCCGAAATAAGTGTCATATCAAAATGTAAAATAGGTGGTACACAATGGAATACAACATGTACAAGTATGTAATAAATAATCTGTGTAAATATCATTTGATTTTATTCAGTGGTATAGGAAGATTTGTAGAGAAGAGATGAGTACCCTTCAATATCATAGAAAGAATGGCAGTGTTCATGTTTTGCGATGGGAACCCAAAATATGTGTCAGATCAAAAAGTAAAATAGAAGTGCTTTAACGACACTATGTAACAGATATCTGTGAAAGTCAATTCAAATGGATTTCATTCAGTGGTTTTAGACGAGTTACGGATAAGAAAAGGTTACCACAATGCGTAACAGACGGACGGATGTACAGCTAGAAAGAATTAAGGACATCACGATTACTATGTACCCTGTATATGTTTCGAATTTTGAAGTAATTTAATTATAAACAGAATTAAAGGACATTGTTTAATTTTGAATATATGGATTAAACTCTTGTTTTTTTTTCTTTTCATTATTCCCAACTATATTCGCATCGTGTTATGCTGCTAGAAATGTTATTATATCCCAGTAAGAACACTATAAAAATGAAGGTTAATGATTAATATTATAATGTGGATGTCTATGTCTAGATTTTTTTCCCCATTCTCCCTTATTGGTAAAAAAAAATACAGTAAAACTCCCCGTTTTATTTTTGGCCCATAATCATTACAGGTATGTAGAATTCCTTTATTCATAGAATACCAGTGCAGGTGTGCCAGGTGTGTCTAAGTTATCTCCTGCTATGAATATTACTTGACATTTCTTGTTAATAAAATCCATCTGACCTTAGTATCCCTTCAAAGATGTAAAGGTACTGAACCGACCCTCACTTGCATGGGTTTGACAGAAGTTTTATTGTGATTGATAACTGAGTGGGCTTGGAAGAATGATCAAGAAAAAACTGCTTTCACAAGCGCTCTCTATGTATTATAGAATAAATATTAAAAAAAAATCAGGACATCGATTTATTTATTTATTGCTTCAAGTCGAATGACATTGTATTCAGAATCAAGTCCCTATATATGCAAGCTACATTCATCTGTTAATGACGTCAAATCAAATTTATGATTGTTTGCTTCTTTCTACAAAATGTAGGACTAATTCATGATGATTTAATGATAAGTGATGTTACAAATTTATGATGGTCTGTGATTATTTGCAAATTGTGGGCGTCATTTTTTGTAATCGTTTGCTGCTTTCTACAATATGAAAAACGTAATTTATACATTTATTTAGTGGCTGAAGGTTCATACGTGCTACGTTCAAGTCCCCATCTCTGTGCTAGTGTATGTTTGATTGTTTGCTACTTTCTAAAAAATTGTGGGCGAAATTCTTAAAATTTATTACTGCAAGGCTAACTTATAATATATAGGGCCTGGGTTTTTTCTTCTACAAATTGAAACCTAATTCAAACATTATTTATACTTTAACGTTTGTTTGATCATCTTAAATCATATGAACAAAAAATGTGATGTCAATCAAAATAGTTATTCCTTTATTACCTAATTCTGTGTTAAAACAAAAATTATGTGTTGTACGACATAACGGAGGAATCAAAATAGTTGTATTCCTGAATATATACTTTTGTAACAGGAAAATGTTTGCTGGACCGGGAGATCCTTTATGTCCAGTCAGGTACTACCAACTGAGCTATCCAGGCCGTATCCACGGCCCAAACCATGTCCTAAATGGGCTTCGCCCTCGAAACACAACCCAAGTTCTTATTGCCCCTGACAGGACTTTCACCTGCAATTCCAGGGGTGGTCAACGGCACCAAATCTGTAACAGGAAGGGGGGAAATGTATAGCTGGACCGGGAATCGAACCCTGTATGCCCTGTCAGGTGCTCTACCAACTGAGCTATCCAGGCCGATATCCACGGCCCAAACCATTACACATTTTTAAATATCATGAAAAATCAAACATTTAAAAAGTTCAAATGCGGACATTCACAGCATGTATGATCGGTTCCACCTAAATCTTGACCAGTATCATATCAAAGTCATGAAAGAAATAACGGAGATTTTATCACGTTTTACCTGAGATTGATTCTTGTTGGTCATTTGAAAAAGTTGTAGTTAGCGTCGTTAAGAACTTTGTGAAATTTATCGTCATAAGTATCAAAATTTTTACTTTACGCGTATATTGTCATTTACTGAAAATTTCAAAAATAAAAACAATGTATTAATGTGCAAAATCACCAAGCTGTTTTATTTTTTAAACGTCAATCTTGTAATGATTATTGTATGTATAAGAATTTGTTCTTTTATTTGGTACATAATTTATTGACATATGACAGGGTAGATTATAATACAACATTACTTTGTTAAGAAAAAAATACTTGTATAAGGTTTTTGGATCTCCCCATAAATGTAAAAGTAAAATTTATTGTCATTAACAATAAATTACAATTCGCACAAAGATTGTGTTGTGCAGGGGTGTCTGAAGTTACTTTTTATAATACTTGTATGAACATGAATTGCATAAATATGAATATAGACATTTTAGGATTTTAAATTTTTATGTCTATTTTACCATGGTTTGATATTAATTTTAAAGAGAATTATAACTTGCACATTTACCTTTTAAATTACAAAGTTAACATCACTGGTATTGAATTTGAAATGTTAAAATCTTGAAATCTAAAAAAATTTCTGAAGTAATTTTTTACAATAAATCAAAATATTTACTATAATTAATTATATAGTTATGCATACTAAACTGTAGTTATATATAGTAACATTTTGACAAGAATGTTTTTCCTGTCATCCGTATGTATGTAACCCTTATGCCTACAAACATTGTATCTCTAATAAAGTTACAGGGCTCGTGCTATTTCTTACTTATTGTACAAAATGGCGACTTTAAATAAAGTTTACTTACCTACTTAATTCGCAACTATTCTCACACCACTAAATTAACTTTAATGAGATTTTCACAGAATATTTATAATATAGTTCCAGTTTTTAGCTTGAAGCAAAGCTATTTGGGGTTTACCATAGCAGAACATGGACACACACATTTTGGATGGCTTCAAATCTCGAACATTTATTGTAAATTTACTATTGAATAAAACTTAATGTAATTTTTAAGGAATTTTTTTTACATAGTGTGTTTGGTCACCTCCTATTTGGACAAGTATCA